GTTAGGTGAAGTTTCTGGCGAGTCGGGGTAACTGGTAGCTGCATGCGGGGCGCGTGGTCCGGGGACTACTTGACCCTTATTGGCTAAATTTGATACCCTAATTTCATATGTGACATCCAATGGACGAAATCCCATCGTTCGAACATATATTCGTTAGGATCCTCAACTTGATCATTATAACCATTGACGATTTGACTGTTGGATCATCACCAAACTTTAATGCGTTATAGTACGTAATATTTGAGGACCTTAGGAACTTACGGATCGGTAATCTGACGTATGGATCTTCCCGAATTGAACTTCTAAGTTTGTAAAACCAAACATGGACCACCTCTTAATTTTAGCGATTGGCAGAGATCCGACCTTTGGATTGTTCCAAAATTTTAGGATATTATTCTAGAAGATTAATGAGACTCTTGGGAAATTACAAATCGAAAATCCACATGAGGATGTTTCAGATCGAATTATGCAAGGTTGTGGACCCTAACGTTGACAGAAAGTTGACTTTCGGCACATGTCTCGAATCGTTCTTACATACTAAAATTAGTACTACTAAAGACTAAGTGAAGTCTAGTAGGCCTACATTGGTTCATGAGTGACTTTAATATATGTGATTTGGTTATTACCCTGATTTCGTATTTAGTAACCTTTGTGGATATGACTTGGTTTTATAAATGTGTTTTCTATTAAAATGTTTATGAAATGTGATTTGATTTGTGCATTGGGAATATTTGTGAAATGTGATTTGAAATGCATGTTGGATTGTTTGTTAAATGTGAGGGCTAGCAGTGGACCGTTAACCCATTGTCATGGGGATTTGTTGCTTCAATATCGTTTCATTTCTTGCTTCATTAATCCATTCTAAATTTAGTGCTTGTACTTGTTTCATTTCGTTCAGCCTTCATGAATTGAGTAACTCGATTCATGTCTTGTTTCTTCGAGCCGTTGTTATGTTTCTTGGACTTCCGCTCGGTTCCATTGATTGTCCGAACTTGTATCCTGCTTTGGATTTCATTGAGTGGTCTGATATCCATTGTACTCCGTGATTCCGTTGAGTGGTTCGGAACCATATCCATTCGGATTCTGTTGAGAGGTTCGAAATCCCTTCTACTTCGCAATTCCTTTGAGTGGTCGGGAATCGTATCCTGGTTTTGATTCTGTTGAGTGGTCTGGAATCCCGCTTGATATTTTGGTTCCGTTGAGTGGTCCAAAACCCAATATTGTTGGATTTCGTTGAGTGGTCCGAAATCACATCATTGACTTCGTTGATTCGGTCTAAAATGAGAAAGCTGCAGATATGTAGGCTTCGGCCAAACTGTTGTCGCTCTAGCCTTGCATTTTGGTGTATTGTATGAGTTATTAATTGATGTGATTGCGGAATGGTGTTGGAAAGTATATGTGTGTGTGAATGGCAAGATGACAACTTTTGTTTGGCTTATGGTTGGCGTGTAGTGTGGTACTCTATGTTTTCTGATAGGAAGTGTTTTACGAAAAGTTCAGAGTTTAACAAGTGATGAACTATGAATAGCTTGATCCTGTTGGAGGGTACGTAGATAGTCTAACAAAGAGGTTAAATGCAGTCATAGAGTAAACGAAAAATCACTATGCAATTCGAAGCTTGAGTTGTGCTTTGTTTGTATCCCAGAGGTGGGGTATGTTAGATATACGAGTACTTTTTGACGTTGCGTGTTGATCTTGTACGTATGTCGAGATTGGGTGTGACACCATAGGCCAAAGGATAGCCATTTTTGACACAAAACCCATCTCCAATAGAGGTTTGGGTCAAAAAATTCTAGGACCCACTGGGCCAAAATCCAGTTGTATGGCCAGCGGGTTGGCCATCTTTAGTCAGCCAGCCAACCCTTTCAGTTGGGCCCAGCTGGATTATTTTTTAAGACAAAATTAAAAAAAAAAATTCTAATTTTTGTCCTATAAATACCTAGGACATTTCTACACCATTTCTCACATTCTTCTTACACTTCCATATTATCTTACCTCATTTTGTTTTAATTATTCACATTTTATTCACCTTAAACACTCTTTCCATACACACCCCTATCTTCTTCTTCCAATAATCTTTCTTTTAATATTTTCAAATGGCCATATCTTCAAGTGGCACACAAAATATGTTCGGAAATCTTATTTTAATATGGTAGGTTTTTGCAAGTGGCTCTTTACCACAGTGGTGGAAATGTGTTGTGCCCTTACATGATGGCGTGGGTTCGAATCCCATCTGTGAGTAATCTAACATCTAACTAACTAATAGTATCGCTTAATTCAAAAAAAAAGAAAGAAAAGTAGTTTAATTCAATTAACCAATAAAACTGAAGAATAAATTTAAAATAATAAATTATTCAGGGGCTAAAAAATAGCCCTATTGGGTTGGAAATGATATATAAATATGACCAAATATTGTTCATAAAAAAATAATTTCTTGCAGGGACAGTGGGCTAAACATAGCCACTTCGGTTAGATATGACCTTAAAGCTAGAAGTTCAAGTTGTTCAACCCAAGAGCCAAGTAACATACATCTTCGTTACCTTAGAGCTACTCTTAATCCTTGTTAATCAGGGAAAATGCTATGAAAGTAATTTAAGGGTTCCCTGAAATTACCCAAGTCCAGTGAAATGTTTGGTGTTTCCCAATGAAATCAAGCTAGGTTTTGAAGCATAAAAGTAGGGAGGGAAGGGGATTATCAGAATGGAGCTCCTCACTTGAAGTCATTGATTAAAACCCGAATTGTACATTTGCATACAGCTAAACAGAAGGTACATAACTAAATTAAAGAAGAAGAAAAGATAAATCTTCAAAGCCAACCTCTCCAACTGCAGCATAGGGTGTAGACTCGAAGAATTGTTTTAAGGTGTTGAGCTAATGGTTGTCCTCTGTGCAACATACCTACAGATATGCAAGAAAAGGAAAGGTCAAAGAACAATGCAATTGAAAACGTGAATCTCGATTCTCGACCAGAGAGAGAGAGAGAGAGAGATTTACCAGGTATGGAGACCGATGCAGGGAATTACGCAAGGATAGGACTCGCTAAGCTGCTTGACCAAGTTCCAATCTCTCTGAAAGAGAATATTAGAATGAGAATGTTGTTATACGCATAATGTGGTCACTAAATTATTAACCGAGTGAAAATACAAACTCATGAAAATGAGGTAGAATAGTTTTAAATCTTATAGGGAAGAAATCGGTGATAATTTTTAACGAGCTTGTGAGGCTAACCCCATCACCCTCTTTAATTTAGATAATATTGTCTTGCTAGGAAAAAAATTAGGGTAAATCTCAGTTTACTACCCTCAAGTTTCGTGGTTTTCAACATTGGGTACATGAAGTTTTTTTCGTCATGGAATCATAACTAAAGTGTTATTTTTTGGGACAGTCTCATACATCCGTTAGTCTGGCTGTTAAGTCTTCGGTTAACTGATGACGTGGTGTCCATGTGAACAATGACTGGCACCACGTGTCATCAAGGAATCCACGTGGAAATTCAAAATTCAAAAGTTTTTTTTTCGGACGTCTTCTACCTCCCCCAACCTTCCCTTCCTCCCTTATCCCTCCATTCTCTCCTCTGCACCAACCCACCAAACCCCTCCTCTCCTCTCTTCTCCTCTTCGACTCGTCATACATCCACTCTTCCTCCTCCATCTTCGACTCCACCGTCCAGCCACCCTTCCTCCTCCATCATCGACTCCACCCATCTAACCCACCAAAACCTAATTTGCATTGTGCCCACTCTAGCAGCTCGCCCTTCCCTCCTCTCAAAACCATAATTTGTATTTTCTTAATCCCAATTTCCTAATCATCTCAAAACTTCCACATCAATTCATCTCATAATTTCAATAATTTGTAATAATCCCAAAATTTAACTGCAAATCGTACAATGTCGTTCAAGTTGCGAATCCTTCTCGAGAAACCCTTACCTTTTCATCAACCTCCTTCGTTTTTCACTCACCCAAAACAATTTCGACGACGACAGCCTCATGGTTCAATTCGCCGATGGTGCCAGTGCTGGTGGCGAGTGCAAAGGACGAGCAGACAGGGAGAAAAGAAAGAGGGGTTGGTAACGGGATTGGATGTGAGGGTTCGAGAGAAAGATGGGAGGGGAGTGGCGCCGACAAAGGAGGAGGAAGGGAGATCGTGGCTTTATGTGTTGGGAGAAGAAGAAGAAACAGAGAGGAAGAAGATCAATTTTTTTTTTTTTTTTTTTTTTTTTGAATTTCCACGTGGACTTTTTAATGACACGAGATGTCTAGTCATTGTTTACATAGGCGTCACGTCATCAGTTAACGAAAGACTTAACAGCTAGACTAACGGATGCATGAGACTATTCCAAAATTAACACTTTAGGTATGACTCTGGGACAAAAAAAACTTCATGTACCAAATGTTGAAAACTACGAAACTTGATGCTAGTAAACTAAGATTTACCCAAAAAATTAATACCTATTTTTCAGAACTAAAAATAAGAAAAGGGAAAAGGTATGAGATGGGAAGCGATACGTACCTCAGAGACTCCATTAACGGCAAAACGAACAACGCCAGAATTAAGGGTTGCTGCAATCAATTGGGGTGCCTTGTCAAAGATTCTTGGGTCTTCCAGGTGACAATATGCGTCAAACAATTTCAGCATCTGCCTCTGCCACTTTTCTCTGCTGCAAAATTGCAAATTGCAAATTGCAAGAGTTTTGAAATAGCCCGCCGTTAGTTGAACTTTGCTGAGCCTGATTTACAGGTTACATTCGAGACGTCGTTGTTCCCTAGGTGCAGGTTGTTTGGAGCCAATCCAAAGCCAAACAGCCCGGTGGAGTGGAGGCAGCCGGACCGGAGTCACGGATGGGCCTCTCCGCTCGTAAGTCGGTTTGTTCGTTAAAGTCATTAGCCACCCGTTTTTCTCCACGAGTACACCATTGAGTTATCTTGTGGAGCCCACTCCAGTAGTGATTAAAGATTTTTTAATAAAGAGGAGGGCTTCCTATCCAATTTTAGTCACACGCTGGCAACCAAAGCCTTTTGCGGCACGCAGACCCTTTGTGTGTAACGCCCCTTGCCGCACGACTGACTCGGAGAGTCAGGACTCGGGGCTCAGGACCCTGGGGGAGGACAAGGAGGCGGATTATAGTTTACTTCAACTCTCTCTCTCTTTCTGTCTCTACTTCCATATTATCTCATCAGCTTCAAGTCTCAAGTCTCAACTGAATCTAAGATCGCAGAGCAGAGCAGAGCAATGGCGGCCATAAGCTCTCTTGTTGTAAACGTCCCCCAAATCCGTCCGTCCCGGAGAATAAGCAGAGACGACGACACTTATTTGAATAAGCGGCTGAATTCGGTGGTCTGTATTCGCCGTGCTCGTGGCCCTCTTACCCCTTTACATATCAATCGTCTGTCTTTACTTTCTCCAACCAGGTAATTTCATCTTTCTTTCAAATCCTAGCTTCTGCCTTGGGGGTTTCTATGCTTTCTCTCTTCCTCATAGTCCTTGTGTGTATTCCTAATCTTGATATTTATTCTTGCTGATTACTCTTGCTAATCACATGTACTCGTAATAAATGCAACATGTCAATTGAAGACTGCTTTTCGCACCCCTGTTTCTGCCAATTTTTGGTACAAACGCCGATTCTAAAACAAAAACAAAAAGTGCACAATTTCTACTATACTTGCTGCTTAAAACACCATAATTCAATCTTAATTAAGCATTCGTTCTTGTTTCATTTGACAAATTCTTCAATCTTCTTAATTTATTGATTCTTCCAATCTTGATTTCAAGGGACTCCATTTGTGAGTCATGTCACTTGCGATTTGATTTTGAGGTAGATTGTGTTTGTTGTTTGCTATACATATGCTGGCCCTTCCATAGCAAATCCCTCTATGGAAGGGCTCTGTGTATAGAACAAGTATGACTGGCTAATCTTTTTTTGCAATTTGTTTGTTTCAGTTCAACCCACTTAAACCGAAGATAACATGTTGACTACTATGCACTATGCAGCTCACTGCCAATTTAACATGTTTAATAATTATGTAGTATGGACGTGAATATATTGTTCTTGTGTTAGAGAATGTTCCTCTATATTATACATTTTCAGTGCCCTCTAGATCAGTCTCATTGACTTTCAGCCCTTTTCTTGTGGGTGAAAGGCGTCTACTTGAAGCTGCTGCAGGTAGATCAGGTGTACATAGAAAGAAGATTAATGCTTGGGAACAATGTGTCTCCATGCTTGGAGAGCCAGTGACTGAAGCACTTTTTCCAGGAAAGTATAACTGCATTACTAGCTCTTTTTGCCAAAACAACGGTCGTCGTCGCTGTAGGACATCTACACCGAGTGTCTTTAATGACAGAACTTCTTTTTGTTTATCCAAGCCTAAACTTGGCAAAGTTGCTGTAAGTAGAACCCCCCGAGTTTCCTTCTGTTGATGCATATTGTTACTCAATCTTGCATTTTATGCCTTGTGTTTAACTATTAGCTGGTGTGTTTAGATATGTTTGTACCATATGTCTATATTGTGTGTGCATTCATGATTACATATTCAAGGTTCGGAAATTATTCTCATTTGTTTGGTACACTGGTGGGCAATTCCCTGCAAAAACGGTTGAGAAATTATTAATACTAATATTAATATGAGAAAGAAACTATTATTTTTACGTTTGACATTACAGATTTACAATGATGATTCAGCTCAAAACAGCAAACTTACTGTTCAGTTTGATTGAATTGCGGAGCCACGTTCTATGTGGGTTGCATTTATGCAACAATAATTTAAGATGTGAAATGAGTTGTGAAACTTAAAGTGTTTCAGTGATTTTTTAAGAAAGTTTGCGTTCACAAAACAAAATGTTTTTAAAACGGCTAAAAACGCTTTTAGAGAGAATGTTTTTGGGTTCCAAAATCACTTGAAGTGCTTCCTGCAAGAAGCACCAGTTACGTGTTCTTTGTAGGAAGCACTTCAACTGCTTTTTCAGGATTCACTTGCATTTTTACTAAGGATTGGCTCCAAAAACATTTTCACCAAAAGTGTTTTTAATCATTTTAGAAGCACTTCCCCAACAAGCCCAATTATCAGTGACTTTTAAAAAAACTTTCATTAGGAAAATAACAGTTACTGGTGCAGTAGGAAACTTCTGCTCTTGCTTTCAATAAAGCCTTTTTTTTCTGACTTATTGTGGTCCATATAATTTTTAGGGCAAACATGCTCATGTTTCATACGCAACCGTGGGCCCAGATGAGCCACACGCAGCAAGTACAGCCTGGCAAGATGGTATTCTGGAGAAACAGGAGCTGGATTTATTATATCCTGGAGTAGAAAAAACAGAGTTAGAGGGGTTTTTAAGTTCTGAAATTCCATCTCATCCAAAGTTGTATCGAGGGCAACTAAAAAATGGGCTGCGCTATCTGATCTTACCAAATAAAGTTCCCCCAAACAGGTTGGCCTCCCTACAGGACCACTTATAATTGGTTTATGCTTTATAGTTATGCTGGAAATACAAAAGCCAGGTTTCATGTGTAGCTTACTTATAAGATAATCTCATATCCCTTACCAATAGAGCACATTTGTTGGAGTTTAGGTTTGAAGCACACATGGAAGTTCATGCAGGATCAATCGATGAGGAAGACGATGAACAAGGAATTGCACATATGATTGAACATGTTGCTTTCCTTGGAAGTAAGAAACGTGAGAAACTTCTTGGGACAGGGGCTCGATCTAATGCTTACACTGACTTCCATCATACAGTGTTTCACATCCATTCGCCCATTAGTTCAAAGGTCCTTTTTCGTTGCACCAACATTATTGAGTTTTTGTCATTTTAAGTATTTGTGGATTTATGTATCAAACAGAACGAATACATAGCTTTAAGGATCTGAGAATGAATATGTAACTATTTGTTTCAAAACTTTGTTATGTTTTTGCAAGAATAGAAAAGACTAATTCACCTTAAGCTAATATGTTATCACTCTTACAACCTAGGCCTCTAAACATATTGACGATTATATGTTGCTCTCCAGGATTCTGATGGTGATCTGCTTCCGTATGTACTGGATGCCTTGAATGAGGTATGGATGATTGATTTTTCTATATGGGCTTAGGTATATTCCTGGGTGTAGATATATTGTACATATTTGTATGGACTTATTATGTTGTTTTCGATTCATCACTTCATTATTTTCAGAATACCTTTGTATAATCATCTATTTGACAGAAAAATAAAATTAAATAAAAAAGACTGAACTGGAAGTTGATAGCTTTGAGTTTTATTTACTTGTGCTTGATGCATGTGTACAGATTGCTTTTCACCCGAAATTCCTTTCTTCTCGTGTTGAAAAAGAACGGCGTGCGATTCTGTCAGAATTACAGATGATGAATACTATAGATTATCGCGTTGACTGCCAGGTTTGACTGGGGAATTTTATTATTTTCTTAAGCCGGTTAATAATTTTTTTGTTCAGCTACATCTCAACTTTTACTCGTTTGATCTTGGGTGCAGTTATTACAACATCTGCATTCTGAAAACAAGCTTAGCAAAAGGTTCCCGATTGGGTTAGAAGAGCAGATTAAGAAGTGGGATGTAGATAAAATAAGGAAATTCCATGAGCGTTGGTACTTCCCTGCAAATGCAACCTTATACATTGTTGGGGATATTGATAACATCTCAAAAACGATTTACCAGATTGAAGTATGCAAGAGCTCACTTATTGAATCATTTATATCCTGTGTAGCTGAGTAATTTGTGTTCACTTTTAGAGTCATAAGTAGAATAAAATTAGTTGCTTTATTGCAGGCTGTCTTTGGACAAACTGGCCTAGAAAATGAGACAGTTCCTGCACCTGCTCCTAGTGCTTTTGGTGCAATGGCTAGTTTCCTTGTGCCCAAGCTTTCAGTTGGGCTGACTGGAAGTTCTTCTAATTCCGTTGATCAAGCTAAAATCTTTAAAAAGGAAAGGCACGCAGTTCGTCCTCCTGTGAAACATAATTGGTCACTTCCTGGAAATAATATGGATTTGAAGCCTCCACAGATTTTTCAGCATGAATTGATTCAAAATTTTTCATTTAATATGTTCTGCAAGGTATAAGGAGTCTTGTAGAGTTACATTAATTACGTGCTTTAAAGATTTAGTTACCCCCCTCTCTCTCACTAATATTTGTAATGGAACTGCTGCAGGTTCCTGTGAGCAGGGTTCAAACATATGGTGACTTGCGAAATGTTCTAATGAAGAGAATATTTCTGTCTGCTTTGCATTTCCGGATTAATACAAGATACAAGGTGCATTTTTAGGGTTACGAGCACAATTTCTAGTTTCCATCATGAAGAAAGTCACTACTTTGCTTTATTGAAAATTTAGCTGTTTTATTTATTGTTTTTTTGTGTATTGCTAAGAACAATTAGCTTAATTAAAGGGAATAAAATTAGAGAAGTCCATCAAAATCAAGGTAGTTACACCTTCAAAGCAAAATAAAATAATTTACTTTATTTTTCCAACCAAACAATCCACAAAAGAGCCAAGATTGCACACTACCAGAGTTTTCTATGAAGATATTATAGGCTGAATATCCCATTTCTGTAGGTCGTTTTTGAGTGCTAATAATCAGTTACCATCTATTTCTTTTTAAGTGCTAATATCTGAAATGGTCATATTTGTATACCCAAAATCCTGTCATGTACTTAATTTACGTATTTGCTTGAGAAACCTTGCAGCTCTTTGTAAGTTTGCTAATCCTTAGAAATGACAGAGTTCAAATCCACCATTTACTTCAATTGAATTGGATCATAGTGACTCTGGAAGGGAAGGTTGTACTGTCACTACTCTTACGGTAACTGCTGAACCCAAGAATTGGCAAAGTGCAATTAGAGTTGCTGTACAAGAGGTTGGTCTTTCTATCTTGATCTGCCGTACACTTTGGAAAGGAAGTTTGTTTACGATTTTCTGAATGTAGTTTACATGTCAGTTACATATGTTACATAACTCATTTGTTATATTTTATTTGGTGCAGGTTAGAAGGCTCAAGGAATTTGGTGTTACTAAGGGTGAATTAACTCGCTATATGGATGCCTTATTAAAAGATAGTGAACATCTGGCGGCTATGATAGATAATGTGTCTTCTGTTGATAATTTGGATTTTATTATGGAGAGTGATGCGCTGGGGCATACAGTAATGGATCAGAGGCAAGGACACGAGAGTTTGGTTGCTGTTGCTGGAACAGTTACTCTTGAAGAGGTGATGTTCAAAGTCATTATCATTTGTTTCTGTTACTTGATCTGAATTAACCATAAAAGGCATATATAAGCATGACTAGAATCTCTCTCAAAGAAAAAAAAAGGACAACTAGATTCTCTCCCAAAGAAAAAAAAGCACACTTAGAAGTTGTACTTTATAATGCTAATACATGCCATATCAATATTGCAAAGATGTACCTGTTACAAATAGGATAGTTCACCATTTTGGACCGCGTGACACATTAGAGTGCTACTTAGGGTATCTTTGGTATATTTTTAACGACATATATAAAAAATGAAAGATTGATCTAGTAAGAATTTGTTTAATTTATCATTTATATGATATAAGATTTAATTTATAGTTTATATACTATATCTTATTAATAAAGATATGTAGTGGAACACAGATGACTTTTTGTGTCTGTTCTTGGTTAAGAACTTGTAATGCAATGACCGCTTTCCGTTGTTGATGGAATCTTGTATTATGGTTAATCATAAATGTAATTGTGTATTATATTTTTGTTCTTTTCTTGGTTAAGACTTTATAATATAGAATTACAAATGACTTTTTGTGTCTTTCTTAATCATAAAGATAATTAGAGGATAAAGTTGGAGTCAATTTAGTGGTCCTGAGCATATATGTACATGTGTAGTGATCCGGGTAACACACAGTGTTGGAAAACTAGAAACAGTGATCATGATGCTAAAATCTTAATAAGCCTTATTACTTAATCTCCTTTCAAAGTTTGACAAGATTTCATAGAGTTCAAGTTTTACCTGCCAACTTAAGAAAGAGTTGATATTATGAGGCAATGTGCACTGAGATTGATGAACTATACCACATACAATTCAAATTTTTGTGTGTAGGTCAACTCTATTGGCGCCAAGGTGTTGGAATTTGTTTCTAATTTTGGAAATCCTACTGCACCTCTTCCTGCAGCGATTGTTGCTTGTGTTCCAAAGAGAGTGCATGTAGAGGGAATAGGTGAAACTGAGTTCACCATTTCCTCTAATGAGATTATAGCTGCTACGAAAGCTGGATTGGAGGAACCCATTGAACCTGAACCAGAGGTGTCCTTTTATTTTTATTTTTATAAACTTAGCTTTCTCACTTTTACTGGCGTAAGTTTTTATATATATCTATGCTGTCAAAATTATGATTATGGCTGATTCTTTTTCTCTTCTATTTTGTGCAGCTTGAGGTGCCAAAGGAATTGATATCTTCGTTGCAGTTACAGGAATTAAGGCAGCAGTGCATGCCATCCTTCATTCCCCTTAGTCCAGAAATAAATGTGACTAAAGTTTATGACAAAGAAACGGGGATCGCTAAATGTCGTCTGTCAAATGGAATTTCTGTAAATTACAAGGTATCTCATCTGATGTTTATATGGTAATGGGTTCATTGATGTGTAATTGAAGATTTGGTAATGTTTTTAAATCAGTCATTTTGTCTTGTGAGTCATGTACTTATTTTGTGTAAAATCTTAGATTGACAGAGAATCAGTGAAAAAGTGAGCAGGAGCTTAATCACGAGATACATTATTGTAGATGATTATGGTGTTTAGGTGTATTTGTGCAGAGTGAGGACTGTTACCAATAATAACAAGTTAAATCTTTGTTCATTATAGATTTCAAAAAGTGAGGCAAGGGGAGGCGTAATGCGGCTTATAGTTGGCGGTGGACGGGCAGCTGAAAGTTCGGAGTTCAGAGGTTCTGTTGTTGTGGGTGTACGAACTCTTAGTGAGGGAGGTCGTGTTGGCAACTTCTCAAGGGAGCAGGTATGTCAATTCCTCTCTCTTTGTCACAATTATATATATATGTACATATATCAGATGCATGGAGGTTTTTTTTTTTTTTTTATTATTATTATTTTTTTTTATAGTATAGCTAAACTACTTAAATAGGAGTTTGTTTCCTCTTTAATAATTCTATAAATTATATATTTGAGGTAGGTTCTTGGTAAGTAAATTAGGTATCATAAATGCTCATTGTGTAAACAAGCGTTCACAACTTCACTGGTTGTTGGAAAAGCGAATAGCTGGTGTTTTCTTCTGTATTCTTTGTTAAATAAATATCTAGTAAATAGCTGAGTGCTGCATGTTTGTTATTGTAACTTATAACTATAAACTTATTCTCCCTCCAAGAAATGTGAATTTGAAGCATGCTCATGAGCTTATTCCTTATCATATTTGTTGCCAACTGATGTCATTGAATTGCAATATTTGTGACATGCATTTACTTAATTAGATGAGATCCTTAATCATATACTCAGATTATCCATATGCTGTCTGTAATTATTGTTTAATATTAGGATCTCACCATTCCTTTCACTATCTTTAATTCCTCATTTTGCTGAGATTATGTATCATGTGTGCGAATTGTTTTTATCAGGTAGAACTGTTCTGTGTGAATCACCTGATTAACTGCTCATTGGAGTCCACCGAGGAATTTATTTCTATGGAATTCCGTTTTACTTTAAGAGATAATGGAATGCGTGCGGCTTTCCAGTTGCTTCATATGGTACTTGAGGTAACCCATCATAACTTTTAGTCTCTCTGTTCTGGTATGTGGATTCCATGAGGGATTCTTGTCATTCTTGTTGTCGACATGTTTTGGGCACAATGTTGTAGTAGTTCCTGCTCCATAGGAGTCATCTCATTAGAAATGCATGCCTTGTAATGGGTTAATTTATAATGCATGTTTTCTCACTGGCAGCATAGTGTCTGGCTGGATGATGCATTTGATCGAGCAAGGCAATTGTATTTGTCATATTATCGGTCCATTCCCAAAAGCTTGGAGCGCTCAACTGCTCACAAACTCATGTTAGCAATGATGGACGGAGATGAGCGGTTTGTAGAGCCTACACCAAAGTCATTGCAAAATTTGACATTGCAATCTGTGAAGGATGCAGTGATGAACCAATTTGTAGGCAGTAACATGGAGGTGCGTAGTTTGCTGATTTGGTTGTAGTTTTACAAAGTATGCACATGACGAATAATTTAATATATACAACATTTCTCATTATATATGGCCCTGTCTGCTTATTGTATAGGTAAGTATTGTTGGGGACTTCTCAGAGGAGGATGTTGAGTCTTGTATTCTTGATTACTTGGGAACCGTAAGATCGAAAGAAAATTATGAGATGGAGAATGCTTATAATCCTATCGTATTCCGATCATCTCCTTCTGATTTGCAGTCTCAGCAAGTGAGTACACTTATAGCTTGATACTTTGGATGACAGAAGTTCTGTAACCTTGAATTGTGCTCATGGTTCATTTACATCTAAGCAGGTATTCTTGAAAGATACGGATGAGAGAGCATGTGCATATATTGCAGGCCCTGCACCAAACCGATGGGGTTTTACAGTCGATGGCAAAGATCTGTTTGAGTCAGTTAGTCATATTTCAACTCACGATGGTGAGTTTATCAAATCTGGAATTAGGTTTTGAATTTGCATCTTATTGAGAGAGGTGTTGTAGCTGTAATTTCTGATGTAGATGCAGAACTGAAATCGGAGGAGCTGCTTATGGTGGATGAGGATACTCAGGATGTGCAAAGAAAACTCCGTGGCCATCCCCTGTTCTTTGGCATCACAATGGGGCTCCTGGCTGAGATTATAAATTCTAGGTAATTTTTTTTTTGCTCGGTACAAAGCATGCATGTGAACTTCTAGTTTATCTATGAATGTGTTCATCCTTCTGAATGGTCAGGTATTTATGCCCAAAATGTATTACTTTCCTCTATTGGGTGGAGCACATCTTGGGCAACAACCACATTGACCAAAATGATTGTTAAAATAAGAACTCTATACTTTTCTTGAAAACAGTACTGAATACTGTTATAAGTTTGGAGGTGTAATTTTCTAAGCATCCGAAGTAGTTCAACATGGGTGGACACCATGTCATGTCCTCAACTGTCTATTACAGCAGACTTTGGATGGAAGTCTCAAAATTATAGCACAAAATTTCTTACGCAAGATACCCTGGTTAGGCGTAGCCGCGTTGGCTGAGAGTTGGGTTCTAGTCTCTTTTCTAACCAATTACAAAGAAATTGGGAGATGTTTGCAAGGATGAAGCTGGAGATGGCGAGGGATATTGAAATGATATGGAGATGGTGATACTGACGATGGCAGATGTGTTTTGGGGTTGGTGATGGTGATAATCCTGTTTTTGTTTATCACATTTTAGGAACCTATAAGTAATTTAAAATACGTCAACCTATGCTGAAATATGGATATATTTATTGACCTAAACCAAATTTATTATTTGTCTTTTACATGTTACTGATGTGGCAGTAATATTATGTTGTATGCCTTTTGTAGCTTTGCAATCCCTCAACATCAAAACGTAAGCCTGTTAACGTTCACCTAAAAATGAACAACCAAATTGACAGATTTTGAAGGACAAAATTGGAAACTAACCTTTCTTTTATGGACAGGTTTTGATAATTAATTCAAGATGCTATTTAAGACTAATGTGTGGTTCTTGTTATTTTTATTGGTGGTGAAATATTCTATGTGGTTTTGCACAGGCTTTTTACGACTGTCAGAGACTCTCTTGGATTGACATATGATGTATCATTCGAGTTGAACCTTTTTGATAGGCTGAATCTTGGATGGTATGTCGTATCTGTAACAGTCAACCCCTGCAAAGGTGTGTATGCTCTATTTGTATATATTCGAGCAGAATAAGTTCCGTCACTTTTCACTCTCTTCACATGTTTAGGTCTATTGAGTATTCAGGTTCACAAAGCTGTGGATGCATGCAAGAATGTCCTTAGAGGTTTACATGGCAACAAGATTTCCCAAAGGGAGTTGGACAGGGTTAGTTTCTTCTTCCTTTTTTTTTTCTTTTGGGTTTTTTTTTATTTTTTTATTTTTTATTCTAATAGATTTTTTTTATTTTATCATTTTTTAAGTAAAGTGGGATTCTCTTGACCACATCTGTTGTTTATTTACTCAAAATTTAAGGCAAAGCGGACCCTTCTGATGAGGCATGAAGCTGAGATCAAGTCAAATGCGTATTGGCTTGGACTGTTAGCTCATTTGCAGGCTTCTTCTGTTCCAAGGAAGGTAAACAGAAAGGTCCTTTAGTGTTTACAGATGATACTCATAAAAAATATAAGTTGATATTTTTCCTGTATAATAGGTGGCTGTTCAGTTGATCAAAAGATACAAATAAATAATGGCCAATAATCAAATAAACAGTGTTTACATGAAGATATTCTGATTCGTAGTGCTATTTGGTCCAGGACATATCTTGCATCAAAGATCTCACAAATTTATATGAGGTTGCTTCTATTGAGGACATATACCTTGCATATGATCAATTGAAAGTAGGTGATGATTCTTTGTACTCATGCATTGGAGTTGCTGGAGCTCAAGCAGTAGATGAAATAACTGGTGAGTCAGACATATTTTGTACTTTGTTCTACTCTTATCAATCCACATACCATAGTTGAAACTTTTGAAAATTCAGTAGAGTATAATCAATCAACAATGATTTTTACTTGAGCTAGAGTGGCAATGAGACCTCAAAAGATCTCACCTTTTTCCTCATCATTTTAGTGTTAGTTCCATTCATCAGTTCTACTTGCTTTCTCTATCTCATGAAAACCTGTATTATGCTGCTTCTTTAGAAGTCGAAGAATCAGATGATGGCTTTCCAGGAATCTTCCCTGTTGGGCGTGGTTTATCAACTATGACACGGCCTACAACATGACCTTCTTATATGATACTCGCAGTCTCGCATGTATTAAAGAGATATTTAGCACTAAGGTATATTCACAAGCTTTTGAGGTTCTTATTTTTCTTCTAGTCTGGCCTTTATGGGGGGAGGGCGCTGGAAAGTACTTTGTAATGAAATTTGGCTGCAAAGTACTGAAGTACTCACTTCTCTGAGGCGCTGAAATTTTATCCCGCCGGGGGGTTGCAGTAAAGTCCAATGGATGGCATTTCCCCTTGTATTTTGACTTTACAAATTTGTCAGTAGGTCCAATTGAGAATTGCAGACCACTTGATGTTAAATGTCCTCATTGCCATAGTTGTGGCTGAACAAATTGTATGCAGCTGGTGTGACAATGCCTCATCCACTGATGCTGATTGCATTCCTTGTACAACTATGTGCATGAGGAACTAAAACGGCGGTTATAATTATCAATGTGTTGTACATGGTTGCGGCTAAATCAAAAAGCATTGGGCACTTCAGACTGTAAATTCACGAGCCCTTCATAATTTGTGTAATCCATGCAGTTAACACCCGACATTTGTCTGCAACAGATAAATTTACCTTGTGATGCAAGTGCAACAGTGACCATTGTTTGATCCAACTTTTGATGAATATTAAACCTTCAATTTTACACAAGATTAAAGTGGCGTAAAAGACGTAATTCAATTAGAAAACAGTTGCGACCCAAACCCAACTGTGTGTCCAAGGTAAATTACAACTGTGTACAAGGCAAGATAAGCAACGGAAGCGCCTTTCCGTGCCATGGCAAGGCACATAAGGGTAAGGCATGCCGTGGCAAGGCATAGTGAGGCAAAGGCAAAGTGTGATAAAGTGAGAACAGGGTTAGCCGGTCATGCCTTAGCAAGTTTTATCTTTGTCATTGGAAGTGTGGCATGCCCTCTTCTTCGGGGGTTGGTGGTGATCGTGCAATAGGGTTTAGAATAGGGTTTATTTGAACCACCACTAATTCCTTCTTCTCTTCTTGAACCCAGAGAATGGAGCCCTTGAGCTCAAACCCAAATAGAGTTTATTTTGGTAGTTATGACAGTAGAGGTGGTTCTTATGGTGGTAGACAAGGAAGAGATGATGGTGGATACGGTTAGGTTCCTCGAAGTACTCCACCGTCCTAAACCCTTAGCTTAAAAATTGAAGGTTAGGGCAAGGCATAGACAAGCATGTCAAGCCAAACGCAAATCATTCCTTGCAAATTCACGAC